GGTACCGGTGTTCGAATACTTTTGTGACCGACTGTAGTGGGAAGCGTAGAGTTAATCCACAACTCAATACAATTATTGTAAAAGGCATCCTGCAAATTATAGGTGTAGATCTGTTGTAAGAGATAGAAAGCGCTAGCCTTTTTTATGTCGCCGAATAACATTAAAGCTTGTTCTTTAAAAACAGCAAGTTTCTGGAAGAACTCAAATAAGTTTAGATCTCGCTCATATTTTCGTGAAAGATCTGCCCCATTCTTTTTCAGTTCTTCAATTGACATATTCAATATTTCACGACCATTGATAAATGCTAAATTTGAATTTAGGGTAGTAGCGCTGTTTATTCTCGTTTTAATTTTTGTTAAGATTCGATTAAATACAATTTTTATTGAATTAGAAATAGCTGAACAGGGTAAAGAGTTCGTGATTCGTCTTCGCACAATTCATCAAATTGCTTTTTGCGCTTTAAAATTCGTTTATTTGACAGGTGTAATTCTTCGGCAACTGTTTTAGACTCTTCTGTCTAATATTCCATAGGAATCAAAATCGTAAAAACAACCTTGTATTTAACGTAGGTATAATGAAACACTCAATCGATTTCGAGGGCAGCTAAAGGTCTCTCCTCATCAGGAAAAAGAAATACCTAGAAAGAGAAAATAAAGGAGAGGAGTCTCAGAAACACGTGGTCCTTATCACGCTACACGTGGTTGAACTGGACAAGAAAATTAGCGAAGTTAAATAGGGAGCGAGGGGCAATGCACCTTCACGCTCAAAATCTGAACTTCAAATAATGGAAAGCAACCACTGAACGGATTTTTATACCCTCTGGTAGTACCAAGCGAGGAGGTAACGCCATCTATCGGCAAAAATAATGAATTAAGATAGTAGAATTTTAAAGCATTAGGAAGGACGGATTGGACTTCAAATCATTAACTAAAACCTGCTAAATCTTTGTGAATGTGAAAAGCCTCAAGAAAATCCAATTCACCTATGGAAGAAGCATTTTGCCCAATCAAATTATGGTTAAATGTCCACTATGATACGCTATGAAGACTTGTTAATTTCGCCTTTTGACATAAGATTCATGTTCTTGATACGAAACTTCAACGCTCTTTTTGTTTGCCAATATATCTTAAACCACACGACACGATATACTATAAATTCCCAAGAATTCAAGACAAAAACGCAATCTTTTAGAATCGAAGGATGAATTTTATTAATAGGGAGAACGACTTGAAAATTGAATTTCTGGAGAATCCGTGCAATTTTAGCTAACAGAAGGATAAAATGGAAGCACGACAAGGTCATTAATTTATTCTAAGTGGAATGTCTTCTTTGATGGAATCTGAAATTTTTAACCGGCTTTATCAATATCACGGGAGAAAATCCACGGTCATCGCAACTGCTCTCAAATAATTAAGTTCATGGTAAGCAAGATTCAGGGAACAAACTTTAGCGCGCGAATACATAATAGTAAAAAGAAGCCATTTTTTCTTAACAGGTTGGCTGGGGTGGTAAACAAACTGCAAGGGTTTACCATACAAATGTTAAAAAAATTTGAGGATTTAAGAATATCAAGAAGGGAGGGAATTTTGGATTCATTTCAAGAGGAATTGGATGGCTGGATCAATTGAATTCATAATAGATAGAATCCGGATAAATCCTCTTTATAAACGTCAAAAGTGCGAAGTGTCGTCAATATACCAATCCAAAGACGAAAAGATAGTTTACAATAATTTCATCTCAAAAATAGTGCATATAAATGTCAGCAAGTCGGACTGAGAGGCTTACCCATAGCAATCCTTCAACTTGACGAAAATATGCATTTTGGAAAACAAAGTGGGTTTGACTCAGAGAAACTTTAGTAAGCGAAACCAACTCATTAATTTTTTTTTTCTTTCTCATTAATTTCAGTATGTGTGAAGTTAATTTCAGTATGTGTGAAAACTTGTTTTAAAACTACTAATGTTGTATAAAAATTAGACAACATTCCAAATATGATCCAACGCTAAGCTTGAATTTGCAACCCGCAGAAGCTGCTGCTCGCGGCACAGACCCCGGCTTGCCCCCTCTCTAGGTCCGGGATTGTCACGTAGAAATAATCATAGACATGACTTAGCTTTTCTTAGTTTTATTTGACATACTATTACTTACATCTTCATTTTAAAAGGATAATTATTTAAACAACAATGTTTAATTACAGCCGATACAAAAGTTCTCCAAAATCGAGTTAAGTTCAAAATAAAAATGGTAGTTCTGTGGTTTTCGTTTGGTTTTTCTCTGTTGCCAAAACGCTTGAATCAATAACTGTTTTCTTCTTTAATCTTTTTTTTTTTTTTTCCTTTTCTTTTTACTGGAGTAGTTGCCAACAAATCGATTCGTATTTACAAACAGCTAAACTTAGCTCAGACTGGTCTTTCTCTTTAAATGTGTATATTTTAGATGGTAGACTTATAATGCCTTTTGAAAACGGTGCTATCAAAATTATAATTGGTGATTAAAGGGGAATTTACATTTCTCTTCATGTACCCCTTTCTTTTGTTCAATCAGAACTATGCAATTTTTTAACGCTATGGCATTTGGAGGCCATGAAGAAGACATTTTGGTAAAAAACGTTTATGACAAAGAGAATGATGCTGTCGGTGATCAGCTTACTGCACTCGGTGAAGAATTTCAATCATGTGAACAAAATATCCTTACTTGTGATGACATCAGAAATAACAGTGATTCTTTATCATCAAGCGCTTCCATATCTGATTCAGATTTGACGTCAACTGACAGTGAAGATTCTCTCGCCTTATCCGAGTCTGAATCTATTACTGATGTAACACCGTTAAATTCTCCGTATTGCGATAGTCCACTTCCTCAAAGTAGACATGCAGAACACAAAATTGATGACAAGAGTTCCGAGAATTCGTCTCGTGTTGAACTTACTGGAGCAAAAAGTAATTGCTGTCCTCCAGAAATGAATATATTGATCAAAGCCATAGAGAAATTGGAAATGGAAACCGAAAAAGGATCTGAACAAGCTGGAGTGCATAGCAGTAATATCAGAAAAAAAGCTGCTGGAGAAGAGCTGAAAAGAAATGAGCTAGAAAATCAACGCCTTTTTAAGCGAGTCTTATCTCAAAGCCGCATTCGATCAATGTATGGTCAAACAGGGCATAAGAATTTTACCACTGGGAAACTGCAAGATCTGGTGAAAAGTGATAGTGATATTTCTGTATGTTTTATAGTGTTAGATATTTATCATTTAATTATTATTAAAATGAATCTCTACTGAAATATATCTCTATTATACTCGGAATAAAAATATATATTTGTACTAGAAATTGCATACAGATGCACTTAAATTCTACTAAATTGCTTGAAAATTTTAAACCAAGATAAGATGATGGATAAGTTTTTTTAATAGCTATTTCAATATTTTTGGATGGTATGAAAATATTTCAAATTGCTTGTACATAAGAAAATATGATTTAAGGCATGGTGTAGTTAATTCCTTTTATTACAGTACTTAATGTAAGTGGACAGCTAAAACTGTAGGTTAGTGTAAATTTTCTGGGTGACTTCTGACTCAATTTTCCTAAAATATTATCAATCAATTTGGAAATTAAATTCGAGTAATTTTAATATCTTTTGAAATATGCGAGTGCTAAAGAGAAAACATGCATCATTAATTAACTGAAGTTACTACCATCTGTGTTAACAAAATTTATAGAGCATTGCATTGCATATCATTTCGTCTAGTTTTGGTCCTTTATTATGTGGACCTTGGCTTAATTAAGGTTATGTCATAAGAAAAATCTGTGATTTTTGACATCACACTTGCAAATGCCTATGCTTCCTGTTAAACCCATGAGCTGTACTAGTTGCCTCACTTTTGACATGAAATATTAGACTTCTGAACTACTATTTAAAAACAGTAGTATTTTGGAATGCACGAAAATGAATAATTTTAATTATTATAAGAATTAACAATTTAAACAGCAACATATTTTAAAGATTAAATGCTTTAGCAATTCTGTAAATTTTAGTTCATAATACTGAAAAAATGTATCAGTAATTCTTGTGTAGACTTTATTCATAATGGACTGTATTATTGTTCTGTTATTTATAACTTTTTTAAATTGTAAGTTAGTATTTCAGTTTACTGGCAATGACTATTTGAATTTTCATAAAGTTAGCTTTACCGGGTTTTCATCTGCAGAGAACCCGTTGGCGCTTCGGGAAAGAACCCTTTGGCGCTGTTGCATTTTTACTCGCCAAGCTCGAGCCGGGCCGTAAACGTGATATTTTATAAATGAGATTTTTAGTGTATGTAAATTCAAGTTAGCAGACAAAACACTATATTAACATAGGAGAAAAATCACAGATAATAAGCATGGAGAGTGGGACAACTAACGGGGAAAAAAAAAAACGTGATAACGAAAATAAATGGGTATAAAGGCAAGTTAGCACAGAAAAAATATAGAAACGCGGGAGAAAAAAGCATTTAAAAATAAAGGAGTATTCTTATACGGACGTTTACAATATACTTGATGTATTTTCTCTAATAGTGCTAGGACAGTGTCTTCATTTTTAGCACTTGGCTGGTTGATGGTATTCGAGAGAGCCAGGCCCAGGAAGATAAGAAGCATGACCTTGGTACATCCTGGGCAGAACAGGGGGCAGCGGGGTTTTTGGGGGGGGCCGCAAGGGAGGGGCATACAGCGAAAGCGTTTTTGGGTGAAACAAATACTGTCTTTGGCATAAGAAGACACGCAAAACCTTCACAAGTATCAAGGGCTTCATAGCATTGTTAATAAACGAGAACCTTAGACCATGGAGGGGGTTCAAGAGTCTTAACGGATCCTACACTAGCAGGGTTGCGAATGGGATGACCAGGGGGAGCGCAAAAGGCGTCATCGGAAGATAACATAATAGGGGGAGGGCAGGGGAACAGCGAGGTCCACACAACCTGCCATCCCTGAAAGGGGATGTTAGCAAGCATACAATATAGGATCGGGTTAAAAAGAGCTGAAAAAGGATTAGGCTCAGAGGGGAGAGACATAACCAATATAAAAAAAACATTATTAAGATTTAAAATCCATCAGATTGGGGCCCTACTAAAACAAAAATTGAAGCGGGGGAGGATGGTACTTGGCGAAAAGGGGCACCAACACTGCTACCGCAACCCTCTAGGGGGGGTTTTCAAGCCACCGCCATTGGGGTCTGCACGAAGTAACGGACAGGGTGCGGCGGGGAGGGCGAACACTTTTTTTCCAACAGCGGCAGCCAAGTACACTTAGCTAGAAATTGCAGGCCAAACCCTGAAGCATGACAAGATACGGCAAAGGGGAAAAGGGGCAAAAGCGCAACTCCCGGGGCCAGCGTGGGCAGATGCGACACGACATGGACCATGGTACACGGCGAACTGATGGCTCGAAAAAACACCAGAAGGGGACAAAAGGGAATCGCGGCACACCCGTGGACTGATCCGCTACACTGCTAGTGGCTCAGAAAGGGAAAAATTTGCACGAAAGCGAAAAAGGGGGAGCGAAAGGCGGCAAAAGGACCAGAGAGAAAAATGCCCTGAGCGCGAAAAAAAAGGACAGACCGGCGAAAAAGGAACCCCTGCCCGGAGAAAAGAAAAATCTAAAATACCAAATCTTTTAAAGAAAAAACACATATAAATGCCCAATGAAAAATAGGGCAAATTAAAAGGTTCAGAGGGAAACTAAAAAAGGGCCACACTGGACTCACAACGTATTCCAAAATACTACAAACATAGAAAAAAAAATAAAAAAAAAAAACCAAACACGCATGAGTAATTAAAAATAATTAAATTAAAAAACACACTTAAAGATTAGGGAACACACATCAAATAAATTCACAAAAGCAAAATCCTAAGCTGACTTTAAAAAAACAGCTAAAAACATTTCCAAAAAACATATACCCGTTGCCTTACATTTAGAACAAGCAAAAATAATCCCAAACTCCTCAACGAGAAAAATACTACGCCCTAATCTTCCAAACAAAAAAGGAGTGCAAAGAACTTTTTTTCACCCAGAAAGGCGGCTTGCACCTCCACGCAACTATTCTGTACAAACAGAGAACACACAATCTCATCATTCCGAATGTTGACATTCATTACAAATCCTGTAATTACCCTACACTCAAACAGCTTCAACCAATTACTTTAAATTTATCAGAAAAATGCAAAAAAGAAGAATTCAGACATTTAGAACAACCAAAATGGCGCCCAAAAAAATAACAACAATCTTTCACAAACACAAGGGCTAATACAAGGGCCATAGTACTGCAGTATATTTTCCAACAACGCACACCCTCAGAGGGACCTTCAGCGGAGCGGAAGGCACCCGACACTTTTTTTTTTCTTCTTTTTGATAAAGAATTGTAATGCGTCCATATGAAGTCACATACATATCCCCTCGATCCTCATTTTCCTCACAACAAATAATGTGTAATCAAAACTAGTACTTTCTTCCATTTATGCCAAAGAAGGGTTAGTAAACCTTTTAATAATCGCTCAGGGTCCGCCAAAACGGAACTGAGTTTCTCATATTCCCAAAGATTAGCCAACGCCAAATTATTTTGGAGGGGGGGGGGGGAAACCTCATGGTTCGGCGGGCTTACAGCTGTTAATAATTAAGAACACAACGTGAACAGCCAAGTTACAAATTAGCATTCACCCCTCCCGCCATATTTTTTTCCTTTGATCTTGAACTGACGAGCTGAGAACCGACATCTATCGACAAAAACTTCTTTAATTATACGAAAATATTTCTATCTATTCGTTGTTAAAAAATTCAGATAAAATAATGTGGAAAATCAGAAAAAATAATAATAAATAAGAGAAGAATAATATAAATCTCTAAATGCGAACAACGACGGTGATAATTCAACAAAATGAACGCAAGAGGAATGGTCGCAACTTTCGAACAAGTGAATAGGATAATAGGTTTAAACCATTATTGGCAAAGTTGACAATATTTACTTTTACCGGGTTCTCTGCGGAATTGCTTTCGCTTTACCTAATAAAAAAGATTTGAGTTTTTAAAGAAAATTTTTAATACCTTAAAATTTTTTTTGCATGTAATAAGTTATGTTTTTGCATAATGTTATTAAAAATATAGGTACTATTCTTTTTCGAGGGCCGTAAAAAAATTGCAGCGAAAATGTATGCGCAAACGCGCCCATTTAAACAGCGCGCCAAATTTAGCGTACGCGCTGATTTTAGATTGCATAAGTTTATATAGTTCTATATTTCTTTATTATTCTAAAGACTCCATTGAAATACTAGTTTAAGTTTTAAATCCTTTTTTGATATCCTACGGATTTAAAAATTTGGGAATTGCCCATGATGAAAACTCGGCAATAGAATTTTGGGTAAAGTGCAGAATCACCCACTGGTTGACGCATTTAAGAATTGCACATACTCGGTATCCATGCGCACATCGATCAATTTTCACTTAAAAAAAATCCTGGAATTGCACAAAAATGGCACTGCGCACACGCTTGACTTTATCTATGTACACATCGACCTATTTTCACTTAAAAAGTAAAAGAAAATTGACAAAAATCCAATTGTTTTTACCCTTGTAAAAAGCGGCAAACAAATAAGTGAGCGATTCTGCACTTTACCGAGAATATTTTCAAAGAAAAGGCATCATTCGTTATAGAAAATTATGTTTGAACAACCAACGAGATGAAATTATGCTTTAGGGATAAGTCGGTAGCAAAATAGCGATGCAGGCATCCATTCAAGTATGTTTAGCAATTTTTATATAAATTATAATAATGATCTGAAATAGTTATTTTCTCTTATGCTTCCATTCAGTCATGTTTAGCCTTTTTCATATAAATTATAATAAAAAAGTATTATATGAAATTAACCTTTCAAAAATTAAAAAAAAAATCAATCTTAAATAGTTATTTACAATTATACTTCCTTTCTTGCTGCAATTATTAGGGTTGCTGCAATTATTTTTGGCAACTTTGGCATCAACAATAGTTTTTTTTTTTACGGCCCTCGAAACCGAATAGTACCAAAATATATTTTAAAACTTTTAAAAAAGTCATATATTTAGGCCATTTTGTATTAGAGTAATATATTTTTAGGAATATTATCTCTAGAAGAAATGGATGGCTTTTTGCATTAGTTATTTCTCTGACAGTAAGAATGATGATAGGTTGGCTAATTCCCAAAGAAAGTAATGG